AAACTTATATTATGAGAGATCCAAGATCTTCTTTTGATATAAGATTCATCATACATCATATAAAGAAACCAACTCAATAAGATAAGTTGGGAAAATTATATCAAAAAGGAAAACAGACGCTTCAAGCACCCTAGAGTTCACTTGGAGCAATTAGAATTTTCTTAGAGCACCCTATAACTAGCTTGGAGTGAATGGAATTCGCTTAGTGCAATCAAAAACTAGGTTAGGGCGACTAAAATTTGCTCAAAGCAACCACAACAAGAACTCAAAGTGAGTCAAGTCAGAGAACTCTCTAATTGGCCTCACTTACTCACTTTGAGTGACCCCCATAGGCGCTTTAAGCAATCAAACCAAAAAACATGCATGAATCCAAAAATGAATACAAGATTCATGTATGTAACTCGGAAATAGTCATATACTATCGTTATACAAATCAAAAACTAAAAAAAATGTCACATGCAACCATCAAGTACATCAAGATCATCAATTTCTTCATTCTTCACCGAAAACACCAAATTTTATCTTCAAAAATTCAACTTAAAATGTTTATCAAGGCATAAATCAACATTTCACAACTTAAAATATCAAACAAGAAGTTTCCCTTACCTCAATTGCTCCAAAAAATAAGGAAAAAGGGAACAAAACTCAAGAAGCTCCTCAGTTTGAATCTTAACTTTTACCATGCCAACTATCAACCAGGAGAAGAAAAAAGATCTTTCAATGGAATCGAATCGAAGATCGAACTCGATTGGCTTCAAAAAACTTCTTTCTAAAATTCCAGAATTATAAACTTATAGAGTTCATTTCTTAGAATCTGTCTTATATACCTCAACTCTCCCTAAACCAACTCTCACACACTTAAGATATATCCTCTATAAATTAATCTTATAGTTATCTCAACTCTAACTCCTACCCCATATAAGCTAAGAACAATAAAACAACATAAAATAGCATTCTTAATTACATATATCACAAGTATACATAATTAAGAAAAAACATGGTGTTACATAATTTACTTGGTATAGGCCTAATGGGAGGTCAAAAATTTGTATCGACAGGGTGTTGGTGTTAATGGAATGGCTAAGAAGCACACAATTAGTCTTGGACAAAAATATCTCAAATCATTGCCCCAATTTGCTAACAATTTCAATGGTGGATTGGGCCCAAAACCCTTTAGGACTTTGGATTGTTGGTTTGAGGATAGAGTTTAGAGGGTTTGTTGAACAATCTTAGAGAGACACACAAGTACAAGATTAGGGTGCTTTCATCTTAAAGGAGAAATTGAAATTTCTTAAACAGAAGTTGAAGTAGTGGAATTCAACACATTTTTAAAATTTACAAAGCATGCATAACAAAATTGTGGTTGAAATGAAAAACCTAGATTTAAAAGAAGAAATGATAAGGCTAAATGAAGAGGAAAAACACATGAGAGTGGAATTACAAGAAAAGTTATGATTTGTGGTGGTCTATACTAAATCCTTACTATCTCAAAAATCTATATCTCAATGGCTATTGGAGGTGGATTTGAATACAAAATATTTCCACTTACTGGTGAGTTGGAGGATAAGGAAAAACTCAATCACATGATTGAATATTGAGGGTTCTTGGGTGGGGGAACCAAAGGTGGTAAAAGAAGAAGTAAAATTCTAGATCTATAAGAGACACTTGTAGCATGACACATGGCAAGGTGTAAAAGATGTGACTAGATGTTAGTATCTTAGATATAGAAGTGTCAATGAGATGATGACACATGGTAAGGTGCTAAAAAGCGTGACTAGGTGTGACACATGTGACTTGTTAGAGCTTGAATGGACCATGAAAGGTATAGTCCACCAAGTGGATGTCCAACAAGGGGTTCCTACATCCCCACTCTCATAGGTTATTCAAGCCTAATAATAAGAAAATATCTCATTTTCTAGCTATACCCCTCAAAAATATTATTTACACTCGTAAAAAAATTACAAGGAAATAAATTTATACACTATTTACCCAAAAATACAAAGTCAAAATTAAGAAAATATTTACAAGGAAAATATTTACAAAGAAGAGAAAGTAGACTATGAAAAATGACCTAAAGTTCAATAAGAACTTAAGCCTTCTTCCTATAAGCTTAACCTATCCTTCTTGATTCCTTTTGGACTTGGCTCCTTAACATGATGTCATCATTAAAGATAGACGTTGTGCAACTAGATCACTATCTTTGTCCAAGGGAGTTAGCTTGATTAACACTTATAGAGAAATTTACTTTATTTTTTTTTATCTTCAAGTATTTTTGAAAAGAAAAATATTCAAAAGTGACATAAAATTATAGTCAGTTGATCTTTTGCAAGTTGGTAGACGTGATAGTACATTCGTGATTCCCTTTGATCCTTAATTGTGTTTTAAGCTGTTTGTTGTTTTGTAGCAACCGTGGCCTCATTTTTATGCTTTTGGCTCCATTTTATTTTATGGGTCACTCTTTGTGGCCTTTTTTAGTATATTCCTTTGATTTTCTTAAAAAAAATAAACAGTTGATTTGCATGCACCCTTTTGATTGTTTTGCACATTTATGCAAATTAAGAGGAAGGTTGGAAAGGCTTGTGTATGTTCGTCAATCAAGCATGTCAAGGATGACAACAACTCATTGTTTATGTATAATCCATTCCCCTTTTCCTTTAATTTGTCTCTCAATAACTCATCTCTTTGTTCCTAGATTTTGGTGAGAAGCAAAGACGCGAAGTAGACAAATTGATATCACAAAGAGACTAATTAATATAGAGCCTATATTGAAAAGTGTTAGTTTTAATATAATATATATATATATATATATATATATATATATAAATAATAGGGCTTATAAATCACACGTACGTTCACTCTCCCGAAAAATATCCTTATCCCGAAAAATATCCTTATCCTTTTGTTATGTATTCCTTTCGAAGGCATGCATAGTAACGTTGCAATTTTTTTGAAGAAAGTGTTGCATTTTGAACATCTCTCTCTTGGCTTCCAAGATAAAATAAATAAACAAATAATATTTTTTAAACAACTACGAGTGACTACATCTATTTTTCTACTAGTAAAAGAAAATATACACATAACAAGTTCATTTATCTTTCCTTCAAAATTATTTCTACTACTAAAATATATTTTTTGGAGTAATGTTCTTTGGTTCAAGAATCTTTCACTGCACTCGAACGGTCTAACGGGTTGACGTATCTTGAGAGATGAGTACACTGTAAGACTCAAAATTACTAGTGCAATAATGGGAGCGTTTTTTTCTCTAAAGATAATGCTTTACGTGTTTCAACCTAAGTTACTCTAAATTTATTATTTAATATTTTAATTTACTCTTTGTGTTTAATTAGTTGTTACTGATTGTTTTGTTTTTAATTTTATAATATTTATTGTGTTGTTGATATTGATCTTATTGGTAAATCTAAATATTTACTTTTTTGTGCTTTATTAAAATTATTTCCAACAAAAAAAACCACATGCATACAAGAAATGGAAAGTGAAGAGAAAGTAAATATGTGTGACTAGACACAATACCATAAGGCAAATAGGTAGATTTAAAAAAAAAATTAAATATGATAGATAATAAATCTTATTAGTCATTAAATAATTAGTAGAGAAAATAACAATTCATTCCAAAGGTGATAAGGTTCACTGTTGAAGACCCTGTCAAAACATAAAGCCTTGAGCTAATTGACATAATATTCCACCAATCATGGTACAACAACACCTTGTGAAAAATCTTATTTTAAATAAAATGATTATTGTTGTAGAGTTCTACTCCTTTTGAAGTTACTGAAGAATTGAAAGAGTTTACCCGAGACATGACAACCATTAATTCCCATCTTTCTTAGTTTCTTTGTGGGGACATAAAAGGTCCTATATGTTTAAGCTAGTTCCACGCATTATTAATACTACTTCGTTATTGATTGATGTTTCAATTAAATTACACTTTTTTAAAAAATTAGATAATTTAAATAATTAATGTTTGAAAGAGAAATATCTATATATTCCCAATCTTAATAAAAGAGAGTTTTTATCCCATAATTTTAAACATTTATTATATTTATTTTAAAAAAATTATTAATTAAATAAGAATATTTTAAAGAAAATATAATTAATGTAATTTAAAAAAATATATAAAAAGAGAAGAAAAAAATTAAAGAGACCTAAGCGTCCCAATTGGAACAGACAAGATGAGAAAAGTCATGATTATAATGTTCTTCACAAGTATTTATACGTATATATTACCTATACTGGCTATACAGCATAAATTAATGTTATGTTGTTTTGATTTGTTGTTTCAAATCAACATTATATAGTTATATTCACGGAATATATTTTGAAAGAAAATTATTTTTATACTATTTTTTTTATCCATGAAAATTAAACACATGTATTAAGCTATTTTAGAACTGAACTATTTTTATACTATTATTATATATATAATGATCATTAAAATATATAAAATTTCAAAAGTTAATTTAAATAAGCTATTTAAATTTATCATCTACTTAGCAAGACATAAAATTTATTTACTTAATATTAAAATAAATCATTTATCGTTAATAGGATAATGTGTAAATTATCATAATGAGAAATGCTAGCTAGTTATATAGTATTCTCTAACATATCACTCTCAACCTGTCAAAAATACATGTCACTTTCTTTTTTTTCTTTTGATTGAGATTTGACTTTCTCTTCTTTTATTTTATATTTTGTTGGGGGGCAAGATATCACTTTCTAATAATTAATTAAAATTTATTAAAAATAACATCATTGTGTGAGTCGCTTTCTTTGCTTTAATCAATATATAACACAAAAGTCATGATTTTATAATTTTAGTAAATTTTAATTACTAATAATATTAAAAATGTGTGGTTTATATATATATATATATATATATATATATATATTCCTAACAATTATTGCAATTTCTCCGAACTTTGTAATCATCGTCCATTTAAAAAATTGTAACCTACATTTTCTAAGGAATACGATCCTCATTCACACATATACCATTTTCTTCTATCAATCCAAATAATGTGGATTTCTATATACATTTTTTCCCATTAATTAGTATGAAAACATATACATACATATATATATATATATATATATATATAAATAAACAAACCATTCTAATCAGTATCATCTGTTCTCTGTGTCTGCTAAAAACATTTTATTTATTCTATTAATCTTACTCTTTTCCTTTATATAATATAGTAAATAGTAATTTTCTTTTCTAGTGTAAGTACTATGAGCGACCACAACACAAATCCCCGACCATTAACGTTGTGTTGCACCTGTAGTAGAAAGAGGAAAAATATAATGTGAGTGCAGTTGCGAGTTGTGAGTAAGTAACTAGTTGGATTTGGAGAAAAGGAAAAGAGAAGCCATAAGAGTAGCAAAGATGGCGAAAGCCACACAGAGCATATCCAACCTCCCTTCAGCCCTAACCTTCCACTCTTTACTCTCT